AAAAGAATAAGTGGTTTTTATGCCATGTTCTAAGGTCTCAAGATTACAAAATTTTTATCGCACATTATAAAACCATAATGTATTGATAGTTTCACCAATATCATTACAAAAGCGTTTCGATAAGAATCACCAAACTTTGCGATCTCATAGAGTTAAAAACACGGTAAATTTTACCATATTCTGGTAGGTTGGACCATATTTTTCTTCTCAGTAATGTCCAGGAAACGTAAGTGCCACCATGGTAGTGAGCCATTCATATCTTAATTAACTTAAATATTAAATATAAACTAATTATTTATTTAATGAATCCAGTGTTCCCTTCTCCAAATTAAAAATAAGTAAAATGAAAAAAAAAAGAACATATTGCAACGTACAATTTGTAACAATCTGTACGCATTTTTTCTTTTTCATTTGCACTTTAAAAAATTTCTCTAACACGTACGTGCCCCCGAGGAAGCGAAGTAATCAAGAGTTTTTAACATCGTGACGTTTGTAAATGATGTTAAAAAGGTTGTACAAATAATGAAAGCCTATGTTCTTAAATTTGCATAGTTCATTATAAGTTAGTTAAAAGGTCAATGTCTTAGGACTAGTTGTTCGACCACTTCTATAGTTATAGTTGGGTAATTTTCATTCCCACCTTGCATCGTCTTCCAGTTACGTGGCTCTGAAAACCCTGGACCCAAATTAATCTGTAAGAATATTATTTCAACTATTTTTTTAGTCCAAATAATTATTACATATGTTTCTATGAATATAAATTCAGACACTGTAAAAAAATTCAGAATCAAATTGTGATATAAAATGCCTGCACTTTGGGTGCATCATCCATAAAATCCATTTTTCTTAACCGTAAAATCCATTTTTACCGTAAACTTAATTTTTACTGTAAAATATAATACCGTAATTTTTACAGTAATACTTATTTATTAGAGTGATTCAGTGATTTTACGGTAATTATTACTGTAAGAAATAGGTATATCATATATTTTGTTCTGTATATCATAGGTAGGTATATCATATATTTTGTTCTGTAAAAATGGTACTGTAAGAAGTACCGGCACCCAGAGTACCGGTGCTTTTCATTGTAGTTTGTTTCGGAATTTTTTACAATGTAATATTTCATGTTATTTACAATTTGTGCATGGTTTTTAAAAAATAACATGTTGTTATAAACAGTGAGTTATTAAGTTTTTACAATTAATAAAGCAATTATAAAATATTAAATACAGGGAAATGTCTGCAAATTAAATACTTGCATTATACCAATTTTCTGGTCAACTTAGGGATGTAATCAACTTAAAAAGATGAGATGTGACTGTTTTTACCAATAATTAGAGGTCAACATCATGATCAACTATTGGAGACTACTACAGTGGGAAAGTTACCAAAATACCCTGTGTTGTTAACTATTTTTTTTCTTCTAAAATATAAATTAATGATTTTTAAATTCTAAAAGGCATAAAGTTGAAAATACAAATTATTACTTGAAAAATAAATTTTTGATTTGTGAGTTTCGTATAAAATGAAATAAAAATTTTAATTTTTCATTTTAAGTATCATGTGTAACATAAAAAATTGTAACGGTCAACAAGTAAAATTTTAAATAATATTAATTTAAAATTAATTTAAATTTTAAAATTTTAATCATTCGTAATTCGAATTTCAGTTCATTGGGTAAAGTAGAAAAAAAAACGCTTTTGTTTCAAATATATATATATATTTCAATATTTAGTATCACTTAAAATATATCAGTAGATACTAGTAATCACTCAAAATATTTATTTTCAGATACACTTAATGCAATATAAATGATAACCTAGTAACTTTTGTTTATCAGAACTTAGTACCATGGAAACAGTAGTGCAACATTAAATGAACCGATAATTTAATAATGAATAAATCGATAATAATGAATATACCATGTTTCTTGAAAAATTGGGTAATCCATATAAATTATCTGATAAATTAAAGATTTTTTTCTTTCTTTTTTCGGTGACAATGGTAGGTCGTATTTTTAATGTTTTTAAGATACTAGAAGAAAAAATGAATTGTTGCAAAAGTTCCTCATTATTCTATGATAACTACAAACGGGAAAAAAGTCCTGGTTCTCACCAATTTAGTGAAAAATTGAAAAGTTTAATTTTAAAATTCTCTTCATAAGACGTTTTGAAACTGAAGTAAAAGAAAAAACGTCATCTCCTTCATAAATTCGAAATAACTTTTTATTTTTTATTTCTTGAAGTTTTCTTAGTTGTAGTTTACCATTGGTGAGGTAGGTTGAGTGTATTTTGTGAGCATTTGAAATGTATTAATCGTTAAAGATAAATTTTAACTTAACTTTAATAACATTTATGCAACATAATCTTGATTGATCCCAGAAGTCAAACATAAAAAAAGATGAAAAAGTGAAGGAAAAAAAAACTTTTGCAATAGTTAAACACATTTAAATTATTTGAATTCAGTTCAGTTTGTTTCAGGTCAGGTTACGTTTCAGGTTTGGTATAGAAGCTTACAGGTTCGACAGGTACCCAAGAACTTGATTCCACCACTAGACCTTCAACTATAAAATAGTTTTATAAGATAAATTGGCGTATAATTTTTTTCTATTTCTAATATCCAAAGAACATTTATTCAGATTGAAAATTATTCTTGTTAAAATAACTTATTTAATGTTTGTTAAGTTTACCTTAGAAGTTCTCAAATCTTTTGAAATCAGGGCATATTTTCTGTTACTAAAAGCCGTAGTAGACGAAGGAAAAATGGGGCATTTACACTGGGTCCATTTTTAGGATTTTAAGAAGCCCCTAGGCAAAGGATGCTAAAAAAATTAATTAATTTTAATATTGAAAATTTGAAAATTTTCCATCTGTTTCTAGACATTTAAATATTTTTAATTACACATTGCAAAAATATATTTAAATAATTAAAGGTGATTACTTCTATAAAACAAGATTACGTAACAAAAAATTTCTTACTTCTAACAGCCACAGTCCTAATATCACTGATAAAATATAAACAAAAGAATAAATTAAAAAAAAGAAAGGAAAAAAATTAAATAAATATATAAATAAAAATAAATAATAGCACTGTTTCTGGCAGTATTTTTTTCTACTATGACTCGTAAAAAATGAAATCAATAGATTATTCATTGATTGTAAGGTTGTAGATGTGTCAGGATGGCCGAGGGGTCTAAGACCCCAGATTCAAGGTTCGCTCCTTGCTCTGTTACCGCAAAGTGTGGAGTGTTCTAGTCCACGAATGTGGACGTGGGTTCGAATCCCACTTGTTTTTTATTTCTACTATTGCACGTAATAAAACAAAATTATTAGTTCAGTTCTCGCTTTAGATTTAGACATCTTATAGATGAAATGAAATTTTAGCATTTTAATTAGTAAGGTTGCTCGATCTTACTCTTAACAATTTCATCTGTTCTTCATTTTTTGAATCATTATAAGTTTTGATACCAAAATTAATTTTAGTTATTGAAATTCAAAAATTTTTTAAACTTAGATAAGCATATCTTGAGTTTATCATTACTTGGTAAATTTGATACACCTTTCCCGCGTTCTGCCATCTTGTCTTACTTAAGAAAAATTTAACCTTTAATATTCCAAACAGTTGAAAAAAAAATTATTTTACTTCGTATCGTATATTTAAAAATCAATAGCAACTAGATATTTTTGAAGAAATTAATCTGTATGTATGATTAATGTGAAACAAGAGGAATTTTTTTAAAATTACGTACTATAGCAGTATATTATCATATATTCTGCATCAATTAGAAATACTCTCGCAGAATGTTAATCTTTTAGGTTAAGATGCTAAAGCATTAATGCTAAAACTGACCTTTTTTCGATGTACGTTTTCTTAGCATCTAAACAAGATATTGCTTCAGTTTTTTTTCACAGAATATTTACATATACGTGTTTACACTGTGATAACTGTTATTACATATCTTTGGTAGAATTTTTTAAGAAGATTACGAACTGAGAACTTTTAATTTGTTTTTAAAAAGTTTCTTTATTTTTGATCAAAAATTTTTCATAACTAAAGTATTCCTGTTAACGCTAAAGCATTATCACAGCATACAACTGATATAATCTCAAATATCCACAAAAAATTTCAAAGTGATATCATAAATAGTTTTTCAGAAAAGGTAAATCGAAAAATGTCAGTTTTAACATTAGCCTTACCGACTCCCTTTAAAAAAAATTTACAAAATGATAAAAATTTATCCTTTTTATTAATTTTTCCTTTTTTCAATAACTTTGTAGAAGAAAAAGAAAGCTTTCAAAGCAATTTTATAAGATTATGAAATAAAATTCTTAAAAGGTATGAAATGCGAATAGTTCCTTTCTGCGAACTTCAAACTAACACTTGTATAATTATTAATTTAAAAAAATTATCAATTTGAAAATAATAGTTATTAATTTTAAAATAATATTTAATTAATTTATATTTAATTAATTTTGTCAATTTTTATATTTCATAATATTTAATTAATTAATTAATTAATTAATTAATCAACATTTAGTTATTTACAAATGTTTAATTAATTCATAATATTTAATTAATTAATACTTAATTTTGCGTCGTGTTGTTTTTTCTGATGAGATGAGAAGATATTAATAATTAAATTTTTTTCATTTAATAAAGGAATTTTTAATAGTATTTTTTCTCCTGTAAATCTGAACGCCATTTTCGTATGAGTGATGTATCATATCAAGAGGCTTAGTATAGAATTTCTTTTCGATTCATCAAAATACAAGTGATGCTTCATAATTCATTCATTATGAGCAGTGACACCCACACACAATATCTCGTCACAATAGGAATAACGCAAAAGAACGGCTATTAATCTTGTACTTAAATATAATTTTCTTCGCTTTTAATCAGACAAAAACACTCGCCCACGATTTTTCTGAGATGGAAAATTTCTTTTTATATTTTAGAAGTGAAAAGGGTGTTTTTAACTTTCTCTTTCTTTTCAATTTCAGCTGTAAATGAAGATTGAGAAGTTGATGCATCTTTATGAAATCCAGTCCTCAAATTTTCGTCGAAAATTACTTCTATTTTCATTATTGTTTCTATCATTGTACCCATGGACTTCATTGTCGAAAGTTATAAGTAAGGAAAAAAAAATTCATTCATTATCATTAAAAGCATTGCTTTTTTTAAAAAATTTGCTTTCTTAAAACAAAATAACAAAAAAAGTGTGTAATACTAACCGCCTCTAGGATGTTAATTGTCTAAAAACTCTTAAAATGCGAAAAAGTTTCAAAAAGTCTTCCAAAAATTACCTTAAATCTAAATATGCTGCTATTTAAGTTTTCCAAAACATGTTTTAGATAGACTTTTTTTAAACTAATAAATCATAACTTATGTTTATAAATTTAATAACAAAAATCATTAAAGTAAATATAAAACTAAATGCATGATTTGTGAATTAAATAAAATGTAAACACTTGATTTAAAGTACTTGATTTAAAAAGTAGAAAAATTTAGCACTTGAGTTAAAAAAGTCGAAATTATTTACCTTTACTTAATCATTACCTAATCTTTACTTAATCTTTTGAAATTATAAATTGCCAGAATTGCATTATATCATCAAATGTTTTTTCGTTGTTCTTTAAAGATACTTAATGCAAAACTTAACGTAATTTGTGGGGGGGAAAAAATTTGACCTACAAGCAAATTGCTCGCTTTTAAAAGGAAAAATCTTATTCAAAATTATTTTTTAAAAATTTTTTTTTAAAAAGGATGAAAAAAAAAATCTAAAATATAGAAAGAATGATCTAAAAAATTATGTTTAATGCTTAAAGTTCAGTTATGTAAGTTAAAAAATAACAAAAAAAAGAGCATTTATTATGTTAGCCCCGGTAATAACTGATAACAACTGATAATAACTGATAACATTTACGAAGCAATTTTACTGGAGTGTGTGAGCTTGTTGAAATCTTAAATCGGATAAGAGACGAAAGAAAAGTATTTTTAATATATAACAGGGCTGTGGAATCGGAGTTGAAAGAAGATTTTAAAAGAATCGGAGCTGAAAAAACTTACTCCTCTCCGTTTAAAGTTAGGTTCAGTCGAATAAAAGAGGGATAAAAATTTAATCTCATGAAAATTATTTATGCTAATATTCATATTATCTATATAAAAAAAATTTCTCGAATGCATATTATGACAATCATTTGAAGTCTCATTGATCATTTAATTAATTCATTACATTTTAATACTTTTGTACCTGAGGTTAACCGATCTATTGATAAAAGAACGCAAACAATGTTGAATCATTGAAAATATTGAAGATTAATGAATGAATTATATTGGAGAACAAACTTTTTGTTGCATTCCTGCTAGTAATTGATCTTGCCGAATTTGGATGTTGAGATTTGAAATCTGAAATTAGTTTTGCTTTTGAAGCTACAGATTTTTTTTTTAAATGACATTTTCATTTTACTTTTTGTCGATATGTAAAAGTTTGACACATAGACATATGGCAGGGTTACATGACAGGGAGTCTCGTAAATGTTGCGACGAGCTTTTAGAGAAATTAAGGCACATTATCAATATTAAAATTGCATACGAACCTATGACCAGAAATGTCATCGTAAGTGGCTAGGAGCACTTCTCTATTATAAACTGTTGAAAAGCACTCGTTGAAACAGTTTCTAATAGAGGAAGGAGACCCCTAGTGGCGTATGACGACATTTCCTGGGTTCCTTTGCAATTTTAATCCTGATGTTTTGCCCTAACCACCCTAAGATTATCGCAACATTTACCCACCCACCCTATCATATACAAAAGCTCTAAACTTGTACATTTTTTATACCCGAATTATCACCAGGCGCAGATCTCCAGCGAACATTTGAGTGTTCTAATTAGTTGTGAAGTGGTCGAAATTTGATTGGCTATAAATTCTTGGTAACATGACGATAATTTCTACTTGAGGCGGTCGGGAGACGATTGAAACTTGCATTGCCACGCAGTTTCAAGTAGAGATATAAGTGCTCAAACTAATGGAAAATCGAATAAGATTTCGATTGCAAGAATCTATTCTACAAAGCACGAAAGCGAGTGACTAAAAACGTGGCAAAAATAATGGATGCAAAAGAGATTTACGTGTGACATGAGCAAATATCCAAAGATTAGAAATAAAATAGAAAACGCATATATTTGATTACGGTTAATGTATATACATTTTTCAATATGAGTATTTTGTAAATAATATGTTTTTTCCCTCAAAATATAAAACTTTTGAAACGATTTTCGTTATTTAAATATATTTTAACAGGATTGAAGAAACAAGGAAAGACAATTCCTCAAAAAGATTTGGAGACGTCGAATCCAAATACAAAAAAGAAGATAGTACTTATGCACAATTTTTATAGAGCGAGAGTATCACCTCCAGCCGGTAACATGCTAGAAATGGTAAGATAGCAAACAAACAGATATTGGCAACCGTGCAATGAATTTTTCTAAATTATTTACTGATAATAAAATTAACTTATTTATGTATTTTTCATTAGATACAAAATAGCCCGTTCGCATGCAGCAAAAGAGTACCCATTTTTAAAATTAAATAATTCTGGCACATCTAGAGATAAAAGGAGAAAATGAACGGTATATTGATGGAGAAAGCTGTAAGATGTCTTATACGCAATTATCTAAATTAGTTNATATATCACAACTATGATAATATGTATAATTAACTATGTTTTAGTTGAATTTATGAACTGTTACAATTGACCCCGTAAGTGGGGACAATTGTAACAAGTGCACGACTGTCAAAAATTGTTAATAACTAATGTAATAGCATTTAAAATAAGGTATTTATTTTTTTTCTAGTAGAGGATAGTCTATATTACTCGTCTGTCAATTAATACTAATAATATATTGGATTTTTTGTTAGTTAAAAATAGCTAAGTAAAAAATGTTACAATTGACCCCCCTCTCCCTTACCTAATCTTTATTTGATTTTTTGAAATTATAAATTGTCAGAATTGCATTATATTATCAAATGTTTTTTCGTTGTTTTTTAAAGATACTTAATACGAAACTTAACGTAATTTGTGGAGAAAAAAATATTTGACCTACAAGCAAATTGCTCGCTTTTAAAAGGAAAAATATTATTCAAAATTACTTTTAAAAAAAAAATTATTAAAAAAGGAGGAAAAAAAATCTAAAATATAGAAAGAATGATCTAAAATATGATGTATAGTGCTTAAAGTTATATAAGTTAAAAAATAACAAAAAATGTTTGAAAAAAAAGGAGCATTTATTATGTTAGCCCAAGTAATAACTGATACCAACTGATAATAACTGATAACATTTACAAAGCAATTTTATTGGAGTGTGTGAGCTTGATAAAATCTTAAATCGTATAAGAGACGGAAGAAAATAATTATTAATATGTAACAGGGCTGTGGAATCGGAGTTGAAAGAAGATTTTAAAAGAATCGGAACTGAAAAAACTTACTCCACTCCGTTTAGTTAAAAGTTAGGTTCAGTAGAATAAGAATGGGATAAAAATTTAGTCTCATGAAAGTTATTTATACTAATATCCATATTATCTAAATAAAAAATTTTCTCGAATGCGTGTTATGACAATTACTTAAAATCTTATTGATCATTTAATTAATTCATTACATTTTAATACTTTTGTACCTGAGGTTAACCGAACTATTGAAAAAGAACGCAGACAATGTTAAATCATTGAAAATATTGAAGATGAATTATATTGGAGAACAAACTTTTTGTTGCATTCATGCAAGTAATTGATCTTGCCGAATTTGGACGTTGAGATTTCAAATATGAAATTAGTTTTGCTTCTGAAGCTACAGATTTTTTTTTTTAAATGACATTTTCATTTTACTTTTTGTCGATATGTAAAAGTTTGACTCATAGACATATGGCAGGGTTACATGACAGGGAGTTTCGTAAATGTTGCGACGAACTTTTAGGGAAATTAAGGTACATCATCAATATTAAAATTGCATACGAACCTATGACCAGAAATGTCATCGTATGCGGCTAGGAGCACTTCTCTATTATAAACTGTTAAAAAGCACGCGGTGAAACAGTTTCTAATAGAGGCATTCCTCTATTATAAACTGTTTCACCGCGTGCTTTTTAACAGTCCCAGGCGGCGTATGACGACATTTCATGGATTCCTTTGCAATTTTAATCCTGATTTTTTTTGCCCTGACCCCCCTAGAAGATTGTCGCAACATTTACGCACCCACCTTTTCATATATAAAATTTCTAAACTTGTACATTTCTTGTACCCGAATTATCACCAGGAGCAGATCTCCAGCGAACATTTGAGTGTTTTAATTAGTAGTGAAGGGATCGAAATTTGATTATAAATAAATTCTTGGTAACATGACGATAATTTCTATTTGAGGCGGTCGGGAGACGATTGAAACTTGTATGGCCACGGAGTTTCAAGTAGAGATGTGAGTGATCAACCTATTGGAAAATCGAATAAGATTTCGATTGCAAGAATCTATTCTACCAAGCACGAAAGCAATTGACTAAAAAAGTGGCAATAATAATGGATACTAAAGATATTTACGTGTGAAATGAGCAAATATCCAATCATTATAAATGAAAAAACAAAAAATAACGCATATATTTGATTGCGGTTAATGCATATACATTTTTCAATATGAGTATTTTGTAAACAATATGCTTTTTCCCACAAAATAAAAAATTTTTGAAACGATTTTCGTTATCTAAATATATTTTTACAGGATTGAAGAAACAAGGAAAGACAATTCCTCAAAAAGATTTGGAGACGTCGAATCCAAATACAAAAAAGAAGATAGTACTTATGCACAATTTTTATAGAGCGAGAGTATCACCTCCAGCCGGTAACATGCTAGAAATGGTAAGATAGCAAACAAACAGATATTGGCAACCGTGCAATGAATTTTTCTAAATTATTTACTGATAATAAAATTAACTTATTTATGTATTTTTCATTAGATACAAAATAGCCCGTTCGCATGCAGCAAAAGAGTACCCATTTTTAAAATTAAATAATTCTGGCACATCTAGAGATAAAAGGAGAAAATGAACGGTATATTGATGGAGAAAGCTGTAAGATGTCTTATACGCAATTATCTAAATTAGTTACAAAAATTATCAATTGATGGCGCTGTACAAAGCTGTGAAAAGAACAAACACTGCTAACGTTTGCATGCCTATATAGTGTACAACGCCATCTGCTGGCGACTTTTGAGATTGATTTCTAAAATTGAAAATAAAATCTTTTAGCTTTTACGTGTTTATTTCATCCTTTTATCAATAATTTTTTCGGAATCATTTAAGTTTGAATTGGACATTCCTGCAGTTTCAACATACAAAGTGTTCCAAAACGACTGTTCTTAATATATATTTTTAGAATCCTTGTTAAAAAAAGAAGTTAAATGATATACACATAAGTCGTAACATTCCGTAAAAAACCCGGAAGAAACACATTCAAGTATAAGCTGATGGCATTCAAACGAGTTTTATTGTGTTTATAGTCCCGATTTCTTCAATAGGGATTTGTCAAATGATCTCTCACATTGTTTTTGGTAACGTCTTTTTTCGAAATTGAGTATGATCTCTCATATTGTTTTTGGTAACGTCTTTTTTTCGAAATAGAGTATTATCTCTCGCATTGTTTTTGGTAACTTCGTTTTCCGAAATTGAGTATGATCTCTCACATTGTTTTTGGTAACGTCTTTTTTCGAAATTGAGTATGATCTCCCACATTTGAACAAAGATTAGCTTTCAAACCACGAAAAACTTGAAAATGTCATCTGCAGGGTGTTCTGTACTGACCACCCTTAATTTATGTGTTCAGAATCATTGTAAAAATTATCCCAAAAAATCATCGGAAACTATTATTTAAGCCAGAAAAAAATATCAAAACCGTTGTCGAAGTCAAAAAGATGAACGTTGAATTACTTATAAGTTGAGATTGGTTGAGACTAAAAACATCAAAGCCAATTTGATTGTCTGATAAAACTCGAAAGCTCATCGAATAATCCCTTTTCAACACGTTTCTGCAGTCAAACAGGTTTTGATGATTTCTGTCAGATTTCAATAGCGTTTTTCTAATTTCCTCCCTTAAATGGTAATTTGCTATCTCTAATGAGAATTATTTTTTTGACTTCATTTTCGACAAGGAATTGCAAAATAAGGAAGGTTGGTTTATAACAAACTCCCTCTGTTAGTGACGAATGGTGATAAGTTAACAACAATAACAAAAAAGGAAAAAAAGTGGCTACTTAAATTGCGTAAGCAACCGGTCGTCACCTTTTCCCATCTTTTTTTTTTTTTTTGAAAGTTTTTTCATGATAACAGTACATTAATGCAGAAAAACTCAAGAAATCAGAATTTTCATAAAAATGTCCAGCGTTGCAACTATTCAAAAACTTTTTATGGCAGTAGATTATTTCTAATGTGAACTTTCTGGAAAAATATAGTTTTTTCCAAGCAGAAAAAAAAAGTTTGCAAAAAGTGGCTATTAAATAAAAAAGACCTGCAGATATCGATCATCTACTCATTAGGTTAGAGGAAAAAGTAGCCACTAAGTTATTAGTCTACCGACCGCTGGCTATTAACAAAAAATTAAAATTTTCAGGTCTACCCTCCATATTCATATTCAAGATTTTTTAAACAAAATTAAAGAAAGTTTTTGTTGTTATAAAAAAGCTTACTTTAAATGTTAATATTTATTAATTTATTTATTATACTACAGTTTATATTACTTTCTTATATATCAATTAAGCATTATTTTATCCGACATCGTTGTTTGAAAAAGTTGATCAAATGTAAAGCGGCATCTTGTGAAGAGGTTTACTGTCCGAAAAACGCATCTAGCATATCTTTTTTAAATAAACATTCTTGTCTAATCTGATGCTTTTCAAAGTCATTAGAGCTCAATTAAATTGGTTGATGATTTTGAAAATGTAATGTATGTTACTGATTAATGTTTATATCTATTGATAGACTTGGCACAAAGGAGCCGAAGAAGCTGCGCAGAAATGGGCAAATGCTTGCCAATTACTTATTCACGATAAACCTCTCAGCAGATGGGTAAACGGTAAGTTTTGGAAGTTTTTTTTTACTGTCGCATTATAGTTAGAAAGCTTTTCAACATTTTTGTTCTTTATTTATGCCCTTAATATGTGATATGGTATAAATGATTTCGACTGGAAAGTTTGAGCAAGATACGTACGACCGAAAATATATAAAATAGATAAATATATACAGGCAGTAATGAATTCTCGCTTGATATTTTATTCAAGAAAATAAAGAATTTCCTAACACAATGAAGCAAACACAATAGAATTTTGTCTTTCTCTCTTCAATCAAAGTAACGCCATTTGGAAGCGATTCACATATTTGGAACATATTGATTAGTTTGTCCACAATTTCTGGATCCGATGTTATTCAAATTGCGCGAAACCACCTCTCACAGATGATTTCAGCCTGTAATATTTTTAACTTGTAAATCTGATGTGATATTATCTCTGATGCACTTGTCTGAATCATTCACATAACATCATGTATATTATGCATAAAAAGATAAGGCGGTCAAAAATTTACTTTGAAGTTATCGTCTGCGTACAACGTGATATAAAATATTTTCACTTGTTTCACGACTATCGTTTGCTGCATAAATAAATGGTAGCGGTTTTACTCGCAACTGCAACTTGAATATTTCATTTTAAGTACCGTATTTTGCAAGCTTTTGTTTAAACAAATTGAAAAAAAATAATAATAAAGATAAAACAAAGAAATTAATGAGCGGTTGCTTAACTTTAAGCATCTAATATACAGTAATGCAGTTTGATATTGTTTTTTAGAACTATTGTTACGAGTGGTCATTCAGATTTTAACTTTCTGCAATATAGACAGTAATTTTCTCTAAAACTGTTCATTTGTTATTTAAACTCATCTTAAATATTGTTTGTTTTTGAAAGCAAAAACTACTACGGTGATTCTACTTAACATGATGCGCTGAGCTGTGCTTTTTCTGAAATTAAAGAAACCTCAAGAAAAAGGGAACAACCCATCATATTTTCTCTCATCTTACCCTTACTTTGAAATCTAAACAGACTGCGCATACGTAAAATCGGGAAAGTTCTTCAGATATAAAAATATGCAGCATGTTCTGAACGGAATAAGAATAAGAAATTCTTACAACACATAAGGTAACTTTCATATAAAATGAACTTAATACCTGAAAAATTAGATGAAACTATCTAAACTTGATTTTTGTAAACTCCACACAATATTTAATTTATTACTTTTTCATGCAGACAAATAGAATTGCATTTTTTTTAAAGTTTTAAATTATTTTCTTAATGATCTTCGTCTTATGATTCATGAAATCTTTTAAAAATGCACCTTATTTTTTCCCCCAGAAACATTTTTTAAAAGCACAACAATAAAAAAAAATAGCGGTTGGTGATGTGGCACCCCTCCACATGCCAATCACGCTGATGGCTGAAATTCTAAAAAATAAAATAAAGAGCGTGCGATAAATTTGTTTAAATTATTTTATTTCTTACTTTTTCGGCTTAGAATTCATAGGGTCTTTGAAAAAAGTGCACCTTATTTATCTTTTCCTCAGAAATACATTTTAAAGCACAATTTTAAGCAAAATAAGCATGGAACTTCAAATAACTTTAGAAATGCTGATTCGGAGACGTAGCACCCCTCTCCCTCCATGCCACCTGCACGTTGATCACTGAAATTGTAAAAAATAATTAAACATTAAAGAATATGCGATAAAAATTTAAACAGAATCGTTTACAAATTTATAAATAGCTAATCTTAAACTATAGCAAAAAAAAAAAAAAAAAATCATTTTCACCCTTTTCCCGAATGGAATAATTAAGATTTGGAAACTATTTTTTTTTTAATATACTACATATTCGGGGATTAAAACTGCTCCTCGTAATCGATGTCCAAATTTCAGAACTTTAGCACCAACTGTTATGGAGTTATAAGACATTCCAAAGCAGCGACATCCAAAATAAATAAAATTTAAATATTGCAGATGAAAGCAAATAGCTTAAAGATAAAAATTTGCACTTTCAGATGTCCGAAACATAAAATTCGGCAGCAAGCCGTATCCTCTCCTTTTCCAAGACCAACATCTTTATGTTCACTTTCAACTAAACCAAAAAAATTTTTCAATTACAAATATAAAATTTCATTATTGATTACAAAACAAGTATAAAATTTGAATTAATAACATATTGACAAAATTGTGAGTTTATTTATACAGATTACGGTTCTTGTGGCCAAAATATCTTCGTATCACCTTCTCCAGTAGATTGGATGTTCGTGGCTAAAGCTTGGTATATGGAACATCAGAATTTTACTTACGGCAGTCGTAACAATAATTTGACTGATGTAGGTCACTATACACAGGTAATTTTTATGCTGTTATAAACTCTCGCAAAATAGTGAGTGTTCTGCTTTAAAGTTTAAAAAACTGATGGGTTTGTAACGTTTTGTGCAATTATTATGAACCATCGTAGTGTTATGGAACATAATTTTTTTTCGACCGTTTTGTTGTTATAGAACAGGGGTTTCCAACTTACATGAGGCAAGGGTCCACAATTAAAAACACAAATCAAATGGCGGGCCGCAACTTTGTCAAAATTTTATGTAGCATTCTCATGTTTGAAGAAACATTAAATGTTAGTGTCAGATTTTTACCAAGTTGTTCTAAACAAAAGTATTGAATTAAGTAGATTCTTAAAAATATTTAATCGCGTATCAAAAAATTCGAGCTACAATAACTTTAATGTGCACCTTTGTATGAAACAACTAATGTGCAACAGATATCTAATTGTTAAGATATAAAACTTTAAAAAGGTTGGTATAAAAACTTACACAGTAGCACATAAAATGTTCAATGAGAAAATTGAGGTTTGTCTGCTGCAACCACCAGAGAACAGATACTTGCATTTTAAACTTAAAATTTACAAATGCGTGTGTAAATATTTTCGTCCAAAATGAGTGGTTTCAAAAAGTTAAATCGGAGAATTTCTTCGAGAAAATTTCTGATACACACATGCTAAATTATATTCACAAAATACGAAAAAATAAAATAAAAAAAAGCAACATACATGATTATTTTTGTATTTGAATTCTTCTTGGATGCAAAACCTGAGAAATAAATTTTTTGCACCGTTGGTATGTTACATTTCACAGAAACGAAGAAATTAGGTTTTTATTAACGAGAAAAGTATTTTAAACCTGTATAGATTTTTTACGAAAATTGTCCGCAAAAAAATGAAAACTAATATATTTTAGTTCGCGGGCCACGAAAAAAGGCTTCGCGGGCCGGATGCGGCCCCTGGGCCGCCAGTTGGAAACCACTGTTATAGAACATCAGAATTTTAACGGTTTTAAATAAATTATGCTCTTAATTATGCATACTTGAGCCAAAAATAGAATTAAGAACAGGATGTGACTTTTTGAAAGTATGAGAAAGTGTTTCGATTGGAATAATTAATAAAATAAAATAAAAGGATTTACAGAAAAAAAATTAACACAAAAAGATTAATTGAAGCTTTTTATGTTACAATTATATGTAATATATATTCAAAATCTTTTTTCAAGTTTAAATTTTTTAATTTCATTCAGATATTCAACATATGATAAAAAATTTTTTTTTTAAATTTATGTGCTATCGAAACGGGAGCAAAACAATATAAGAGAAAGTTTACTAATTTTAAGATTGAGGGTACATTAATCAAAAACTTCTACAAAATGCTTGTCATGATGGCCGAGAGGTCAAAGGTACAGACTCACGTTTAGTTTCTAGCTGTGTTGTTGGAGAATTGGACTGGTTCACAAATATGAGCTTGGGTTCGAATCACATTTCTTACAGCAGTTATAAGTTAAAAACCTACCCCTTTTTTTAATATTCAAACTCTTTAATATCATTCAGACATTTAACACATTTTAAATATGCTATGTATTTTTTTTTTACTTTTTGTTGTGTCAAAATAGTGGTAATGCAAAATCAAACTTCTTATATCTAAGCGTTTTAGATATCAAGAAATATTCTAAATGTTTTTTTTTTTCATCATGGAAATTTATTAAGTAATTATTAAATTATTTTTCAGATGGTTTGGTATAATAGTCATCGAATCGGTTGTGGTTTCAGATATTGTGAAAAAGAAGTAGTTCGTAAACCCTTTTACAACTATGTATGCAATTACTGTCCTATGTAAGCATTTATAAATACTTTTTTCTTTGTTGAGGCAAAAGTAAAAATATAATCTACACAAAAATATAAAATTGAATTTTTTGTATTAATGCATGCATTTGAGTATTGATCGACATTAATTCTTGAAATTTAACAAATTATTACGAATCATTGTAGAGCAATAATATTTAATAGCTTGCAGCTCGATTTAATTCCAAACGGAGTTACATTGGGAGTTTATTGCACGTTCTTTAAATTTTTTCCCGTGTAAACACAAATAAAACGAAAGTAAGCTCTAGTAAATGAGCGACTTAACTAAATTGGTATTTTAAAGGCTATCTAAAAATATACGTTCATTTTTATTATAGCGTATTTACGCTTTTAAAGCGTATTTTTATGTTCCTAATAAATGCAAAATCAATTAATTAATTAATGTGCTATATGTCAATGCATCGAAAAAATTGCTTGATTGTGGTAGAACCTGGCAATTTTACTTCCAGGAATTGGCCGCCGCAAATTATCAATAGTATCATTTTCGGTATCAAATGATGCTTTATATATTTAATCTTTTATTCAATCATTTACTTATAATAGCGAAGACTGAACTTGAACTTTTACCGTTTTAACTGTTAATTACGGATTTGGTTCAGCCTTTTTATAGTTATTTAATTTATTTGATTTTACTTATTTGTTTAGTGATTTTCGGTGACTTGCGCAAACATGTTTTTCAAAATCTAATTAAGTTTTTTTTTCCTTTCTTAATCAGTATGAGGATTGGATGATTAGATAGTTTCAAATAAATAAAATGATAATGTTNGTTCAGCCTTGTTATAGTTATTTAATTTATTTGATTTTACTTATTTGTTTAGTGATTTTCGGTGACTTGAACTTGCACAAACATGTTTTTAAGAATCTAATTAAGTTATTTTTCCTTTCTTAATCAGTATGAGGAATGGATAATTAGAAAGTTTCAAATAAATAAAATGATAATGTTAAAAAAAATTATTAAAAATTAAGTTCGTTATTATTATTATTATTATTATCATTATTATTATTATTTATGTTACAACTTTTCGAAATATTTGTTCTATACATTCTCATCCCTTCATAAAGTTAACATTAACTCGGAAAAATTTCAATCACCCATCTTAAATTTAGATATCTTGAGAAAAAAGTTTTTTTTTTATGTTATCCTAAAGCAGTAATAATATTGCTCTTTTTTTTCATGTGTAGAGGTAATGTTCCAAAGAAACTTGGTAAGCCATACTCCATAGGAAAACCATGTGATAAGTGTAAAGGTCATTGTAAATATAAAAAATTATGTAGTAAGTAAAATATTTTGATTTTAAATTATTTACTATTTTTTGGGTCTGAGAAAGTGATAAGCCTCATTTTTTCCAGAGGTGATATTTTTATATCAAACTGTTTATTACTTCTGTTTCCAGATAGATACTTTAAAAGTTCGAACAAGCATCCGAAAGGAAACAAATTAAAAGGACAGAAACATCTCATTGCTTTCACCGTAACTTTTCCCCGCAAAACGCTCTTTTGAATAATTTAAAAATGTGACTTATCATTATAATCATCCCAAGCCCTTTATTTATTCTTACAAAATAATGAATATCTACGTTCTCTGAGCTTAACGTTTTAATTGGACTAAATTAAACGTCAGGTGTCGGAGTGCAGTTTTTGAAACAAAAAACTGAACAACAAAATGTTAAGCACAAGGAACTTAAGGATTTTTAAGCTCGAGGAATTTTTTAAATTAAGTCGTGCATTATAATACCAATATATTGTGTGTAATGATGTACTGCACTGGGTGTAAATGCGGAGAATAATCCTATTTAAAAAATATATCTGTTTATGAATATTTAGGTATAGTTTAGGTTTAGGAATATCTTCGTATAGCTACCGCAAAAAAATATTCTAATGTTTATTACAAAATTTGTAATAAAATATGAAAATAAAGCACATATTCATTAGATGATAATGAAATAATTGTTACAAATTTTAACCCGTTTTTTCTAGAAATAGAAATTAGTTGTTCTGTACGCAATACTTAAACGAATTAAATTTATTTTTAAATATTTTGTTCGAATAAAATCAGCTTCATTATGTTTCATTGAGCTCCCCCTCTTGGTAGCAGGCTTTTTCTTCGGGGGGGGGGGCGTCTTTATTTTATTTCTCACTATTATAATCATTTATTTAAGCAATTGAGAGGCATCATTTCTTCAAACATGATCATCACTTTATTCGTTTTTTTTTTTTTTAACGTATCGCACACTGTGATACAAAACCGATTCTGTTCAAACAATAGTTTAAAATAAATCTAATTCGGCTTCAGTGGCAGACAAAGGAACAAATTTTGAAAGATGCTTTAAAATGTGTAAGAAATGTGAAAAATATGTGTACTGTTACAGTTTTATGTAACGATATGTGCTTCATTTTTTTATAGCTAGCTACAATTTTTAGCATGTATAAGAGCAATGTAATAGTATTTACTGTAGAACGCTACACAGAAATATTCCTTCCTATACCCATATTGAGCAATAAACACATATCCTTTTTTCAATTATTCAATGTAATTATGATAATAAATGCTTGTATGTTTCTTTAATTTTGATTTCATAATTATTTACAGCTAACAGCTGTCCACATTCCGATTTCTGGGTGAATTGTGATGATTTAAATGCAAATTTCCATTCATGGCTATGTGATGATAAAGAAAGTCAAAGATATAAAGCTTGCCTTGCTACTTGTGATTGCCAAAATGCTATACGGTGATTTATGACATGATTATAGCATCATATATGCGTATAAGAAGATTTTTAAGAATAGAAGAAGGAAGGTTGTCATCATTCCTGGGAAAATGGCGAAACCGAAAAGAGAAAATTCCAAAGATGCATTTTTTTGTAAATGAGTTCACAAAATAACAAATTATCGGATTTTATCCCTTTTTGCTAATTATATAAACCTCATTCTATCGGCTATTTGTAATGAAAACAAATAAGTTGGAGAGCTAATGATCAGCTGCTTTTAGCTCCACCTTGGAAAGTGAATTTTGGAGGTCAGACTTCTACTATTCTTCGTCTGCCCTTTTCTGAGTTTTGTGAGGAAATATCGAAACCAATGTCATAGAAGTAAAATGTAAATTTTGTGCGAATTATTCCACAAAATCGCAATTTTCATTTTTTTCTTCCGATTATTCAAAACTCATATTGTTGTTGAACAAAATATAATAATGTAATATTCAATAAATGCTTTGATTACAACCTATCTCTTTGCTGTAAAACAAAATTTAAACCAATGGCTATGTGCTGAAAATTATTTTGAAAATCGGATAAATCCTGACCATCTTCGGAAAAGCTTGTCGCAATTATCGGCAAAATCGTAATTATCATTTTCCGATTATTCAAAACTCATATTGTTTTTGAACAAAATATAATAATGTAGAATTGATAAATGCATTGATTATAACCTATCTCTTTGCTGTAAAACAAAACTTAGACCAATGGTTATTTTGAAAATCGGATAATCCTGACCATCTTCGAAAAAACTTTTCGCAATTATCGGCAAAATCATAATTGTAATTTTTTTCGATTATTCAAAACACATATTGTTTTTGAACAAAATATAATAATGTAGAATTGAATAAATGCATTGATTATAACCTATCTCTTTGCTGTAAAACAAAATTTAGACCAATGGTTATTTTGAAAATCGGATAATCCGGACCATCTTCGGAAAAGCTTTTCGCAATTATCGGCAAAATCATAATTATAATTTTTTTCGATTATTCAAAACACATATTGTTTTTGAACAAAATATAATAATGTAGAATTGAATGAATGCATTGATTATAACCTATCTCGTTGCTGTAAAACAAAATTTAGACCAATGGTTATTTTGAAAATCGGATAATCTTGACCATCTTCGGAAAAGCTTTTCGCAATTATCGGCAAAATCATAATTATAATTTTTTTCGATTATTCAAAACACATATTGTTTTTGAACAAAATATAATAATGTAGAATTGAATGAATGCATTGATTATAACCTATCTCTTTGCTGTAAAACAAAATTTAGACCAATGGTTGTGTGTTGAAAATTATTTTGAAAATCGGGTAAATCCTGATTACGTTAGGAAAATCTTGGGTTAACGTTAAGTTGGATTTTCACAGCTAAAACTTCTGAAAGTGGTCTTATCGAATTGGGTCTTAGACACTAGGTACACATAGGAATTATTTATAGTTCTCATTGCATTCTGTATTACACTATTGCGTTTATGTTTTAATAAATTGGCATAATGGTGGCCCATTGATATTAAGTATCTAATCAACCTTTTTTTTCTTTGGTTGTATTAAAATAGAACTTTTATGTCAAAGGTGAACTCGATGAGCTATCAAGCAATCATTAACAGCAAATTCACAAAGGAATTTTTTTTCAAAATAACTAATTAAATAAATAAAATAAAAACACTAACAATTCGCTTAATAAAGCTTGAGGATATAGAATATCAAACACAGTATAGTCTACTCACAAAACCACACATATCAGCAGAATTGAAGACTAAAATGTCTCTCCAAGTAAGAATAAGATATCTCTCCAAGTAAGACTAAGATATCTCACCAAGAATAAGATATCTCTCTTTTTAACAAAATAAGATATAAACTAAATATAAAATATTGAACTAGAATTCATAAGAATCAAATATGGGAATATGTTATAAAATTATAGAGAATTTCACTTCCTGTCGTCATCGGTTGTAAGTTAAACAACAATAAGCTAGTTGAGTTTTTTTTTTAAAACAATTATTGGGTATACAGATTTCTAACGTTTTTTTTTCCTGCTTTTTGTATTGAAAATATCATTTATAAGTTGCAAATGTGCTAACTGATGTCAATTTGAATACTTTCTTTTGTACCAAATAAATAATTGAAAGGTATCATGTCTTTGTGCTTTTTTTTTTTTTTTAAAAAATAACTACAATGTTGACATCTGAAATATGATCATCGAATAAATGAAATCATGATTATGGATCACAGTTAGTAATATTGAAATCAGTGAAGAGGCACTTTTCAAAAAGTTTAATATAGCCATATTAAGCTAAATATAGCAACATATCTTGTTTTCTCTTTTAAAAAAAAAGGGAAAATGTTTCTATGAACACATAATACGCAATGAAATTTTAAGAAAGCAAAGGATTTCAAACAAAAGAAGTGCTATGAAGAACCCCATCTAGCAACAGGTATGAATTAGTATGGGGTGGAAGGGAGAATTTATTAAAAGAAAGCATATAAAACTATTGAAAATACTTAAAAAAATGAATATGCCCAATCTTTATGCAGTTTGAAGTACGGTTAAGTTTGGGTTTTAAGAGGTCTGATTCTTTAAAACTGAGCTTGCAAGATACTACGGCTAAGATATTACCAATATGTAAAAAGTGATAGTATATTTACTTTAAACTTTGTGAACAGTTTCTCCGATTAATTTTCACTTTAAGTTTAAAAGGAAATCACTATAGATTTATTGTAACATAAATTTAAATATTGTGACTATATTGGCGGGTTTTTCTCCGTTCCGCCCTAGAGAGCTGCAGGTGGTTCAGGTTTAGAGGGTAAAGTCACTCGAAAAAATAACTCGGTAAATAAATGTTTAACTACTCTGAACTAAAGACAATTGAACGTAATTCAAGTACATACAAACTTTTGCTGTAATGTAAACAAGTGTGCGCACATTAACTTCGTGACAAAATCATCAGAAGTTGTAACACAAAAGTAACAAGGGCGTCATAGGAGGCTCAATTTTTGAGAGGGCCGAAATAAAATTGCAAATTCCTAATAGTTCTCTAAATTTTTCGCTTAAGATAAAAAATTCTTATATGTGCTAAATACCAGCAAAAAAATCATTTTTTTTTCATCGCTTTCTTGTTTTTAACCTTGAATTTAAATAAATGATAAACACGAAAATCGAGGAAGATTATTTAGAGATCAAATAACCCTCAAATTGCACGTTGAAGTCTCCATATTCAAGAATTTTATTTTGAAATTCGTCATAGGTCGGGTAGTAAAATTCTTCCTATCAATGCAAACAGTAGGGCTCCAATTTCATACTCTTCGGATACGCTAGGTTCCATGATAGAAAGTAAGTTAGAAGTTTATCTAACGTTGAGGATCGTAGATCAAGCACTTATGTAGATGATACCTTGAAGGAATTCATTATAATTCTCAAGAAAGATGTAGAAAACAGGACGGAAGGAACAAAAGATCCAGAATTATGTTTTGAAAGGAAACAGACTGTTTCGTGTCACTAATGAAGGTGAAAACGAAAGTTTTTATTTGTCATACAAAAAAGCATGAGGAAAATCATGGTTGTAAGATTTCACGACCTTATGGGATACTTTTCTGTAGACAAGACTGTATCTAAAATCAGGAAGTTGTATTGATTTCCTGCTATGAAGAGATATATTCGTCGTCATATATCGATGTGCTTCGAATGTTTGGTGTTTGGTCCAAGTGAGAAGAAACAAGGTCATCTCCATCCTATACCGCCAGGAAAAGACCATTTGCAATAGTACATCTTGATAATTTAGGCCCTTTTGTAACCAGTTACAAAAGAAATAACGAATTACTTGTCATTATAGATAATATGACAAGATTTATACGTCTCTCCTGAAAAAGACACGTCGTCTAAGAATGTTTTGAAATCAGAGAAGTTCGTTGAAGGTTTTGGATTATCAAACCGCTTCATATCAGTTAAAGTTTCCTGTTTCACTTCACGTGGTTTTCAGTGATTTCGCAATGAAAATGGCATCTTGTACACACTGAATTCTACATCCCATCCTCAAGAAAATTAATGGTTGAGAGAGAAAATAGAGAAACATTACACCATTTGCAAAACTCTTGGAAAAGCACCTTTTGAAATTCTTCATAGATATATACCAAGATTTAAGTATGTAATTATGAGGATGTTTGCTGATGAAGAGGGTAAAATATGAAATGATCCAGGGAAGCTGTAACTCGATACAAGAGAGAAACAATCGAAAAAGAGCAAGAGAAAATTAAAGCACATTACATTAAAAAAGAAGTCTGGTTCATTATTGTTTGACAAGGGGGAAATCGTTGAAGTTAGAAGACACTCAAAGGCGACAGGGGAGTCAACGAAAATTTAACCACTGTTCACAGTATCGAAGACCTATGGTTATCGCAGAAATACTTCCTAGTGATACATATAGAATCTCTCAATTACGCTAGCGATGGCCAACGGCTCATGTTAGTCAAGTAAAATATTGGAGAAGCTGGAATGAAAATTATGATGATTTCAACGAAGATTCTGATGAAGAACCCAAAAAGCAACGGCCCAAACAAACTGTTTGTAGACCACTGCGTTACAATGATTTCATAAGCTTTTAGAAATTTGCATTATCATTATTCCATATTATTAATCTAGTTAATTTTATTGTGATATATTTTATGTTTAATTTAATTGAGGTTAATTAAAATGTTCATTTACATCGTACTAGAGCTGCACAATTGGCTATTGGCGACGGTCTGGGAAATATTCCTGAGGATGATCCGAAGACATGCCATCACAATTTTGATCCTCTGCAGAGGGTATGACAACCCCGATTCGGTAGCCCGACGACCTGCACGCGAGTTCGAGCACTTTACGGTAGAACAGTTTAACGAGGACCAATACCGCACACTCTCGGTCCCTACGCAGACTGATCCAAGTGGTCACCCACCCGCACACTGACTGTAGCCAGTGATGCTTGACTTCGGTGATCTACTGGGAACCATGTCTTAACGACCAGTTCACTGCGGAACTGCAATGTCTTAACATTGCAGTCCCGCAATGGTGGAATGTGAGCGCATATACATTATAGCAAGGTACGAGTACGCTTATACTATCAATAAATATTTGTTTTTGTTTTTTTGTTAATTTATTAGTGTTAAATTAACTACACAAGAAACCAACACTACCAATATAAGTTTTGCAACGAAACATAGACAACACGTTACTTTCTTCATTAAAAACAGAATTGGCATTCAGAATTTTTTTCCTTTCTTCAAAAATTTTCTTTGTGCGGCGCACACACTTGTGTGAATCGCATGAGTGTGTATCAAATATAGTGAGAATTTTTCTTAGCAGAAAACTTGGATAGTTTCTCGAATCGGATGCAGTGTGAATACGGATAGTCTGTGAAGAGAGAGTACCAAACTCCCGAATTAAGTTCTCGTTCAAATCTCCGCAAACGCGTTCGTGATTTTTTTTTGCAAGCAGTGAAAATAACCCTTAAAATCAATAGGTATATATATTTTTTTTAAATTTCAGCTAAATAAACTTCTCAACTTCTTTGCACGCAGGCACGCATTCATTCTTGCTTGCTGGATCGTAAAATTTCGAACAAAGCTAATACATCAGATATTACTGTTGTTAAATTCGTTTTGTAAATAATAATAAACGATAAATTTTCTTTTTAAACTTGAGCTAATAAATTTTTGAGTAGTCTGAGGTGATTGCAAGCATACTGGAGAAGAAATCTGAAGGCGCTATGAAGAAATAGACATTTAGGGTTCGTTATCAACTATATTACAAAGGTATATTAACGAAATTGGATGCTATTTCTTTTATATCTGTCCGTAAAGTAATTTTTTTTTGTTTACATCTAAGAAGTTTTCGAGTTATTTTGTATGCAAGAAATGTTCTAAAATAGTTTTCTTTGGAAATTCTTTGATCTCACTGTGCCATTTGAACTTTTCTTCATTAATTCAATTTTACTACCATTCACGCCTTACTGAAGTCCCCAGCAAAGTATTCAAATATAATCTCCATGCCCCACCTAAAAGCTTTCAACTCCGATTTGCAGATTTCTTTTTTGGAGGTGTCCGAATCATTTGTTAAAGATTTTCGCCTGATGGATGATCGTCCGGCCTATTGCGAAGTTTTAGCCCTAAATCGTCATTACAAACTATCTTGTTTAAGTAAATTTAAAGGTTGAAAAATTGAATCTTCATCATAAATTACTTCAGAATTGAAAATTGATCAAGATGCATTTGTTATGCGAAGGTAATGCTAAAGTCCGTATGTTATATGAGCAAGATGTCATGTGAATATGATGCAAAACTCCATGTTCCATTTGATTGCTGAAAACCAAACCGAAGATTTATGTCTAGCCTGATGTATCTCTTAAAATGCATGTGAAGATCTATTTTGTCAGATTCATGCAATCCAGTTTGTAAGAAGATCTAACTTGTTTGGAGTTAAAAGTATGCTTGTCAAGTTGTATAATAATGTTACTTGCCTAATCTAAAAAGTTGTTGCTTATCAAATTCATAAAGATGTTGCTTATCCTCTCCAACCTGTAAAGATTAGCTGATCCTTTCTATAAAGATGTTGGTTATAAGTTGAAAGAAATTTGGGCTTATCTGCTATGCTATTAAATATCCTGGAGTTGATGGTTGACCTGGTTCCTGGTAGCTTCTCTGATGCATGATTGTTCCACCTGTTGAAGATCTTGTGCAGGGTGATTCTGGCTTACAATTGAAGGGAAGATAGTCATACATGAAAAACAGAAGTTTTAAGGAAAATGAAAAAAACTTTCTAGGAAGAATTAATTGACTGTTATCCATCTCTGGTTTATCATCAAATCGTTCAAGATAGTGTTGTGTGATACATAGTAGTGACTTCCTGAATGCGATTCGTCTATTTTAAATGTGGTGTTAGTGTTTGATCTCTCCGTCAGCTGCGTGTGAAATGTCTGCTTTCCACGTATGTCTTTACATCTTCGATTTTCTAAAAATGTTTTTATTAAAAAACGAAGGTTAAAATTGATCCCTCAAAAATTACATGGCTGATTGGTATAAATTTTTATTATTTTTAATAAAATGGTTGCATTTTATAATAATTAAGATTTAAAATTATCTTTTATGTTCAACATAATTTATTAGTATTTATTTTTCAAGATACAATAGTATTTCTAACACTTTTATCAATTATTAATTAGTTTCTTGCTTGATTTCTTTCTCTTATTTTAAATATTTTCAAAATTAAGAAAATTTTCTTGGTAGAAAAGAAAAACATAAATTTTTAGTTAAAATATTACGATACACTATTTTAATATTTTATGATATTTTACTTATCTAATTTATGCTATGTTTTTCATTTGTGTATATATTTTATAAGACTTTTGATGTTCAATTAATTTTATTATTTTGCAAAAGTTGTTTCAAATACTGTTTCAGTATTTTAGGATAATGTCTTAGTAATAATAATGCGTTTACTGAGTTTTCTTTTAACTATAGCAGTTTTTTAGTTATTTTTCAAGGATTAATTATAAATAAGCATGCTGGAGCAAGTATTCGTAATTAACAATTTTTTCCACACATTTTTGCTCCTGTAATTGCTTTTTGCTGGTCCTTGTTTATCAATATTTATTTTCTGTTATGCTTAAATAAGTTGATTATTTTTCTGATTTAATGTAGATAAGGTTAATTAATAAGACAATAGATCAAAATATAATGCTGTAGCTGTAACTTGCTGCAATATCTCAATTAAAGAAATATTTAGAAAGGAAACATAGTAAAAAAAACAAAAAAACAATTGATAGAGCATATGTTTTTACAAAACACTTTGAAAGGAATTTGTGTTTTTTGTAAGATTTGTTTAGGCTAATAAATTATTTTCAATGTTTTAATTATAATATTCTTAAAAGAATTTTTTTCCCTCTATGACAGATATGTTTAAAGGGAGTTTTAAAGATTGATAATTAGGCAATTTAAAAAATAAACTTTATCACTTATAAAAAATAAACTTTATCACTTAGTTCAGTGGAATTAACACATGAAAAGTTGAAAGTATTTTTATTTTGCTTGGGTAAACTAGTTACCTCATTAATTATACAATGTCATATTGAAAAATTATTTGTTTAGAATATTCAAAACTTATACATTTGAACGTCTGTGTTTTACCGAGGGAAATTATATAATTAAGAAAAAAAAAACAAATTATAAAAGAAATATGTGAGTAATGGAATATTTTTTAGGAAAAGGGGAAAAGTTATGAAGGAAAACAAAATTATAAATTTATTTTAAACTTAATTTTATAACTTGATTTTTCTGGTATTTTCAATCTTATGTTCATCATAGTTATAATATATGTTAATGTACTTTGCAAGTTAAGAAAAGGCATTAATAGTTTAGAAGGTTTAATATTTACTCAAATATAAAACTTAGAATTAGTCTTTCACATGATTATAAGAGTTGGAGTTGAAATTGTACAATTCTATTTGCATTGTGTATTCAACATTGATTTGACATGTATTTTAACCACACTCTTTTTCTCATTTTAATAATTGCATCAGAATATAATGTAGATAATTCTTTTTGATTCTACGAATAATGTATTTTTCCTTTTTAGTAAAATATAAAGCAATTCTTATTGCTTCGTAAACAAAAAAAGAAGAAAAAATATGTACATTTATCTCTTTATAAGTATTTTGTTTAAAACTTAACTAACTTTAACTATAGTATAAAATTTTATGTACTTGTTAATGAAAATTAACAGCAATATGTCAAATCTGAGAATAACCTATTTTTTAATTTGTATGTTAAATTAATAGCAATAAAAAAAATTTCAACTTGTTACTTTTCACTTTTCAACACTCATCTGAATTTTTTTTTTATCATAGGTGGGAGGGAACAATCTATTTTTTTCCATATATAATTGTTAATAGATTGATTTATTGTTATTATCTAATTTTTTTAACAGAAAATTGATACTAGTAGTAAATTATCAATTGCAAATCACATTAGATAAATGTCTTTTAAAGATGGATTTTTTTTATTAAAGGACCATTTTCTTTTTTACTTTAGTTTTGGTAAAGGTGCAAAGGATTTCAAAAAATTTATTGCAACAAATTATATTGTTGTTACAACCTGTTTATAGCCCTTATATTTTATCCATACAAATGAGATACATATTAAAACTAAATTTTAATGAAATCATAAAAAGAAATAGTAAACTATATTTTTTTAGAGTATCTTAAATAGGCTCAACAATTTTATTAAGATGACTGTTTTACCCACAAATAATATGGGCTTAATAAAGGTATTTGTAATGATCACACAAATTGAAGTTCCTAACCAAAAACTCTGCTAGCACCATCTTTCACCACTCATTGAGGTGATATCACCTTTGTGAATCTATGTCATAAAAAAATACCCTTCTCACGAAAAGACATGTGTACAGAGACTATGGATTAATTTCAATTTTAGGAATTGTATGTAATACATCTATTTTTCATTATTATTTTATATTTTACTAAGTTTTCATATTCAATAAGCATGCAAGTTACCACTGAACAAGGAATTATAATTATTTAACTATAAAGAATGTCAGGTAAAATAAATTAAGTTTGAGATTCCTTAAAGTCTTAAATTTTCCCCCTAAGAAAATTGGTATTATAATAAGTGTAGTTTACTTTCATCTGTAATAGCAAAAAATAGTATTTTGAGTCTTGCTTTGATTCTAATTAGTTCTAATTCTTTAATTAGATTTCACAACTAAAAAAATCTTGACAGTGATTGACTTACAAACCTGATAGAGTAGAGTAGCTTAGAGAATTTTGATGCGGATTAAATTTTACACTTAGAAAAGATAGTGTTTCTTATTAAGAGTGTAACGAATAATGATTTGACCGAATACCGGATATTCAGTGGCCAAATGCTATCATTATAAACATTATCCATTAGAAAAAGTAAAGGGAGAAAAACTAATAGGTATTCATTAGAAATATTTAAGATAAATGACAAACTGACTGACAGTTATAAAAATAAAAATGGAGAAAAAAATCCAGTTAGTTCTTAAAACAAAACTTGAATGTTAAAAATATTTTCCAAGAAAAGTATAAATGAAACGTTAATAGATATATAATCTATCAGGGATCATTTTAAAAATGTCCCTCTAACTTAAAAACTACAGATTAAAATGCAAAAGTGAAACAAAATAAAATTGATCTTAATCTGCAAAGGAAAGTTTTAAAGTTGAACATCTCACTTCTCTAATTTATTTTCAAGGGAAAAAAATATTTAATTGAAATCCTTAACGAAATTTTTTAAAAAAAGAAAAGGCTGAATGGAAACCAATTAAAAAAATCATTCTTATTTTTTAAAAGAAATTCAATATCTCTCAATTTCACTTTGACAATAATAGAATAAGGTTATAAAATCTCCCCGTTAAAATGTTGCACCATAATAAAAATATCAAAAACGAAACAAAAGAAAACCATAATTCTTAAAAGAGAAGGTTGATAAATGATGAATTTAGCTTGCCAGAATACAATTAGGAAAATTAGTAGTAGTAAAAAACTCCTGTTTAGTGAACATAGTGCCATAATAAAGTAACATAGCTGCCAACTTAATTTGCTTTTGCTCAGATTTTTTAGCCTTGTTCCAAAAATACGATTTTACTTCAAAATGTACTAATTTTTCGATTTTCTGGCACTTTCAGTCCTTTCCTGTTTTTTTTTTTTTTTTCAAACCCAGGGTGAGTATAAAAACTGGAAGCAGTGCATGCAATTTTTCTGCGAATGTTTTTGTTT